TTTTTTTTTTTTTTTTTTTTTTAAGTTCTAGGATTTAGTATGATGTTTAGTGCAAAAGATCTGCGTCATTTGAGAATCACTTGGATTTTACATGAGATTGCAAGAATTTTGAATCTAGGTCAGGTCATTTGCACATATATTGCATCGACACGATGCTTTTTCATGGTGACCATTCCGGAATATGTTGGAATTCATTGACCATATGATTCTGGATTTTAATATTCTTCCACTAATAGGAAGGACAGCTGGGCCATTCGTCTCAAATTCAAATTTTCTTTGTGTTCAGTAACAATTTTGATTTTGTTGTTCTTTTGGTCTCAAGAAGCAGATTAGTGTTGTTGAGTGCTAACCAATATGAGTTGCAAGACTTCATAGAAAACAATGATTTAGGCCTTGTATGGCTGAAACTTGTATTACTAATATCTTTTCCTTTGATTTCTCATGCTGTCATTGTGGATCAGTCTGGTTGGTAAGATATGTTACTAGGATAGAACTGCTCAATAATTTTATCTGCTGTGGCATTTTTATTTGAGAAATTTGGCTAGTGTAAAGGAAGTACTTGTTTGAGCCTTTCTGGTGTGAACGTGTTATGCATTGGTTCTGTTATATATTTGTAAGTCATTGTGCTATGTGGGGGCAGATAGTTTTAATCCCTAAAACATGAAGTGTATTGATTACTAGTCCTCATTATCACAAGTCTGCCTTCAGGAATGGTGTGAAAAAAAGATGGAGTATTCTCTTCTCGGTGGCAAGCCCGAAAAGACCAAAGCTATGAAAGCTGGTAGCATTCGTCATGAAGCACTCGAAGAAGAGGTATTCCTTATATATGTTTGAGTGATTAAGGCAGACACACTTTGATATGACAGATATTTTATACTATCCTGTATGTCAGTTTACTGAGAGGATATTACAGAGATAATATCAAGAGTTGTGCAAATACGAACGTATTTATCAGTGCTTACCGTTTTTGTTTTCAAAGTGATTCTTTAGTATATTCTTGTGTTTTAGTTATTGCTCATTCTTACCTTTCCATGATTTTGAGTGTATGCAGGTGATCAAAAGGGTAAAAGTTCATGTTACGTCAGCTGAAGATGTGTGGGCATTGAAGTTCTTGAATTTCATAGTTGGCGCAAACCAACTATTATTTGATGGATTAACACGTGAATTGCCTTTGTAAGTCTCTTTTTAAACTTTTTGTTTGTTCATAATAATTTTTTAATTCCTATAAGTATGACTAGTTGATAATAGTGTTCCACATCAAGAATTTATTTTAAACTAATGATCTTATTTATTTGTGTGTATCTATAAGCATTTAAAAAAGAAAAAGCAGGTCTATATACTTAAGTGTCATATACAGACTTTGTGATCCACTAATGAAAAAGGCCTTGACCCTTTAACATCACATCTGTAACATTTCATCAACTTAAAATTTTTACCTACCAACTAGATTAGTTTGGCGTTATTGCAGACCTAAAATAAATAGATAAATAAGTCTCATATCTAACAGTTTAAACTTTTAGATGAGGTGATCACGCAATTTAACATTATGTCATAGTATGCAAAGGTCTATATGCAAGACTCACTTCTACTCATTTTCAAGAAGAATTTTCACGTGCTTGACCCAAGAAAAAGAGTCAAGCAGTCCCTACGGCACAGCTTATTATAAAAAATAAAAAAAAACTAAATGTGTCTCCTTTTTAATAGTTTAAGCTTTTAGATCAAATAGTTACACCATATAACAGTTGTAATTGGGTTGATAGAAAGATTGCTTCAACGTTATGCAGATAAAATTGCTGAACTCATCTTTAACTGCATGGTTTAGATTAGGGACCCACACGCTGTGGATTTCGTTATTTATTTTCTCTTTAGACTGTAGACCTGGGAAAATAGAGAGTATCAATATATGTTTCACTGGATATTTACATTTCCATTTATTCTTGTCCAGTTGTTTTCCTGTAAAGCACATACAAAACTATATAAGTTAATGCCCATATGAAGTATCTGTCTTTGTCCCTACACGTCGACACCTGTTGACACCATGACCCTATAGGTGTATGTCCTTGCATGCAGTTGTGCATGCACGCAATTCCTTGATGTCCGTCCAAAGGCACTTGTTACTGAATGCATAATCTCACAATAATTCACCTCAAACTTTATCTTTGCACATGACATATTGGATTTTCCTCTTTAACAAGTTCAGTAATTCCTGCATAGTAGGAAAGAAAATTATGAAATATCCTTTATTATATTCATCCTTAAGAGCTTCTGGGCTAATTCATTTGGTTCATCAGAGTAGGTTTTGCTGAAGGTGTTTGGATGGTGGGAATTATTGATGAGATACGAATGCCGAAAGGAGAAAGTGATACATACCCAATGTTAGTCGACACAAAAACACGAGTAAGAGCTAGCCTTCCTGGTGAACCGCAACGGAGGAATGGAAGGTATAGCTTTGCACTTAATGTTGAAAGCTGTCTGATGAGAAGGAGATATGCAACGGAATGAAATTTTCTTATTATTGAAATGTGCTTATGTGTACAAAATCTAATGAACTTGGTGATCCCTTTTTTGGCAGGCTTCAATTAATGTGCTACAAGCATCTGTGGGACAGCTTAGTGGCTGATGAATTCCCCTCCAGACAGTTTTTTGATTTCTTCTCTCTGAATCCGTATCAGATTTTATCCGCTGAAATCAGAGAGAATACTGCTAAATGTGGATTCCCTGCAGAGGTATTACCCAAAGACACTAACTTTTTCAGGATAAAAGTTTATAGTTTCTTATTGTTATGAAAAAGAACAGGAGAAATGGGTACATAATTTGATGTTGTAGGATCTTGAGCCAAGTACCTGAATAAGTTTCCTCATGCCCGTAGAAGATCATGTGCAGGAAGCAGACAACTTTTTTGGTGTCTAGACCAACTCTAAACAATCACTTTCAAGGCACTAAACTTGAGTTCTCTTAAAATTTTACTTCGCCATTTCTTAAAATTTTCTCTTTCTGAGAAGCCGCTTGTCGTGATGATTAATTATACCTGGATAAAAAAATGACAACTTTACTTCGGCGGAAAAGGACTAAAGGATGTGGTTCAGCAGCTTTTACATCGCATCCCAATGGGTGCCTAGTTTACTTAAAAAAGTGTAGCCAGCTTAGTTTTCCTGCTATGGAAATCGTACTGTTGTTTTAGCCTTTGGAAATATTTTGTTGATAGCTTGTTTTTTTTCAGCTTACTCTTTGGTGTCAATGCAGACTCTCACCGATATGTTGAGGTACCTTCGCAATACTTGGAACATGCTTCCACCAGCACATGAGCAACTACTGTTGAGGTGGATTGAAATTTCATATAGTATGCTGATGTTTCACAATTTTCAGATGGTAGAAATAGAGATTTTTCAAGCATCACTGTTTTTTTTTGGATCAACTTCATGAAAATGAATGCATATGCTGCATTCTGGTGTTTCCAACTTTTTCTACCACTATATCCGTGTCGATGTTGCTTTTATTTCTGTTATTGACTTCTTTCTCTGTTTCTCTCGTTTGGCTAGTGAGATGTCTGAAGTTGACCTTCAGAATCATCACCTAAAAACTCCAAATTAAAAAGAGTTTCTTCATCTTTTTAGTTGCTTTCTATGTTCTTTTGTTATAAACATGAAGCCCAGCATGAACTGAATTTTTTTATGGAGGAGATATCAAGGTTGGACTCTCATGAAGAAGTGATCTAAGAGTTGATTATTCGATGACTCTCTAATTTTTTTACCTCTGGAGATAGTCCTCATGTTTCTATGCTTTCACCCAGTTTTCCTATATTTTTCTCTATATTTTCAATTTATACGTTTTTCCTGATTTCTTTAGTTTCATTAATCAATTTTTATAATCAGACAGTTTCATCAGAGGCGGAGCCAGGATTTTAAGTTAGTGGGTTCGGGATTCTAATCCATAAAGTTACTGGATTCTACATTTGATAAATTGATACATATTTAATGAATTTTTTCAGACAAATACAAGGTTTGAACCAAAATTACTGGGTTCAGCCGAACCCGCATCGGACACTCTGGCTCCGCCCCTGAGTTTCATTAGTCAGATTTAATATCCAAACCAAACAGGCTCAAGAAAGTTCATTTGCTGAAGCGTCATCTCATGCATTAGTATAGACCCTTTTATATATTAGAAACTAAATTGTGGATTCTTTCTCTGCAGATATGAATTACAAGAAGATCAATCATTGCTTGGTGAAGATCAGTTTGAGTATGATCTTAACTGGGTAAAGGGCCAAATAAAGTCTTCTTTAGAGGTTTGGCGAGGAGAAAGAGAAGCCAGTTACACCCCCGAAGAGGAGCGCTGGAAATGCAGATCTTGCAAGTTTGCTTCTGAATGTCCAGCCAGCAATTGTGGCTCCCAAGAAGGAAGGACACTGAATGCTAACAGCTAAGTTTTGCAAGATAAGTTTCCAACTAGATCCTTAATAAATTGAGAATATGTTCTGCGCACTGATAGTGTAAAGGAATTTTACACTACCAGATTAAATTGACCGATATAACATGTGACTCACCGTATCAAGCCGGATAGGTAACATGGAGAATATTACTATGCCGTAACTAGTTAAATTGCATTGATAGTGTAAAAATTCTTTACACTATCGGTGAATAGAATTTAAAGTCTAAACAAATTCGGGTACACAATTGTGTTCAAAGAAGCTAGCAGTTTTTAATACTCCTAGCTGTAGGTAGATGCTGAATCTGAAAATTCATTGTTGTACCAATTCTTGTTTTTCGCATTGCAAGTTTATTCGTTTTTCTTGTAATTATTATTGAGCCTGAACTTGTCCCTTCAGAGACATCCGATAAAATTGCTGAGCCTGAACTCGGTTTCGTTTTGTAATGTCAAAGGTATTGAGATGACAACTGTGTTTGATATACGCAGGACTGTTGATGAAGCAGCCAATTCTTAATTTAATGTATTAGTCATTTGGTTTACTATCTAGTTATGCGCAGATATATAATGTAGTGATTGTTTATGTAGTGAATATTAATACAAAAATTATTTACAGTGAATTATAAGAGAGATTGTTAAGGGGGTGAATAATAATACATGGGTTGTTGTATACAACAACATACCCGGTATTATCCTACACCGTGGGATTTGGGGAGGGTAATGTGTACCCAAATCTTATCCCTACCTCGTTGAGGTCATGGATTGTTGTATAGGGATTGATTAATTTATTATGCATGAATTATAGTGCAAGAATTGTTATATAGTAAATAACAATCAATTTATTGCTAATACAAGCTGTGGCGGAGCTACAACATGTAGATAGGTTAATCTTTTTTATTTATGTATATGTTGAATTCCTTTGACTTTTTTCGGTTTACTTCTTTATATATGGACCCCATAATGAAAAAGTTAGCTCTGCCATTGAATATAAGTCATGTGCTTTATACTTTGACCACTCTTAACGAAAAAGCTGGCTAAGCCACTGATCACATCTTATCACGCAGAAGATAACATAAAATTAAGTATAAGTTAAGTTAAATTAAGTATAAGTTATATTGCTGGAAAACACTATAAGTTATATTGGAATTAGTAGTACATTATTTGTTTTAGGTATTAAATTTTGAATAATTTATGTAGACCATTATTCTCCTAATAATTTATGCGGAGTTCAATACCGAAAATAGACACAATACTATCATTTACATATACTGCCTTCATTCACTTTTACTTGTCAAGTATTCTAAAAATAGATTTTTACTTTTACTTGTCACTTTTAGCATATCAAGAGAAGACAATTTCTTTTTTCTGTTATACCCACAATATTAATTACTCTTTTCAAATTATTTTCTCAAATTTATTAAAAATATACATCAATTAATATGGGTATCAAGGTAAATTATGCATCTCATTTATTATTTCTTAACAACTTGTTTGGATGGTTGTTACCTATTGTATTTGTATCATATTGTTACTTTAAATGCAGTGTTTGTATTGATTGTTACTTAAATTTTATTGTATCGTACTGTTAAATCCATCGTTACGTTACGATGAAATGTGCCACTTTATGCAACGATCGACTTGGTGTGGTCGCATCGTTACCTTGTCTTTTTCTCTCAATCTCACCCTTCATTATTATTAAATAATTTTATTTTATCATTTACCCTACCTTTTTATATATCGTATCATAATTTATTTTATAATTTGCAAGTTTATTCATCATATTACTGGTGCGTGATACCATGAAACGGTAGTAAAACGACACAATCTATCCAAACATTATATTCATCAAGCGATATAGTACAATACAATACGATACGACACATTATAAAATAGTATGTAACAACTATCCAAACAAGCTGTAAGGGGTGTGCATAGTCCATCGTGGACAAGTAAAAATGACCGGAAGGAATATATATACACACACTTCCTCTGTCTCAATTTACCTTTTAATCTGTCCGTAAATGGCATATTTTTATATATAAAAATAATTTAACTTTTAAATTTTTATTTTACCTCTTAATGAGATGATTCATGGCCCCAAAATCTTTCATGAACCATATTTCTTTCTTATATTCCGTATATAATTAAACAATCTCACCTAAAATTGGGATGGAAGAAGTACTAATTATACAAGATATTCTAATAACATAACTTTACCAGGAGATTAAATTTTTGTATGCTTAAAACCAAACAACCCTTTAAAAAGTTTACATTAAATAGGAGCAGCAAATAAGTATATTCTGCTTGTATACACCACTAGATAATTGAGTTACTGACCAAAACGTGTTTCCCAACTTTCAGTAGGCGCAGTAATCACCATGGCGCAAAATAGCAGCGGCAGAAGAAGACCTAACATAATGATTACCAGAACGCCCGGCACTGGAAAAACGATGACGTCGTCTGCTCTGGCGGAGGTGACGCAGCTCCGGCACATCAACGTCGGCGACCTGGTTAAAGAGAAGAAATTGCACGACGGATGGGACGACACTCTCGACTGTTATGTCATCAACGAAGACCTCGTAAGTCTTAAACATTGAAAATACAATACCCTAACTCTTAATTCCGGAATAAAAAAATGCGGGATTCTATGTTTGACTTTGATTTCATGTCAATAGGAGAATAAAAATGTAAAAGAATCAGATTTAAGGTGTTAAGAGGAAACGAGGTATGCTTAAAGTCACATTGAGGGAGTTGTCTCGAAAGGCTTTAAGTTCTTTATTTTTTTGAAGAATTAGTGATAGAAACAACACAATGGAATAAAAGATCTAATTGAGTTGCGCTTAAGGCATAATATGTTGATTTGTTTGCTTTAGGTCCAACGTTAAGGATATTATTAGTTGTTTGGAGACATGGCGTACACAAAATTTCTCGTAAGCAGTGTTCGCTATTTAAAGAAATAAATGAACAATCCAATATAATGATATCATATACTAAAATAATACAGTTTTAAGTCCTACTAATAAAGTACATTACTATAACTCTTCTCAGTGAGTGTTATTTACTCTTTTGGAATGGACTTATAATATACCAATTGAAAATAATACTTAATACTTCTTTTTGTACGTAAGAACCAAACATCATCACTAAAAGATTCTTCAAATACTTAGCTTTTGTTGACACCTAGACCCTAGATCCAACAGCCAACAACCAACAATGCTCAAAAATTAAAAAACACACAGATATATAAGACTAAGGTTCGAACCCACGATGTCCATAATTATTTTAGGCGCTTAACCCTATGAGCTAAGCCTTCCTTTTTGACAAGCAATGTCATTTCAATTGATTTATTAGTTATTTTATTTCTGCATACTAATCAAATATATATATTTAGCAATATTTTCCGACGAAGCGGTGTCGGATGACACCGCTTATGCTAGGGTGGATCCACCCCTGGATGGAGATTTATTTAAGTAGAAATTATAGAGGTAGTCATTATTGTTTTAAGTTTTGAGCTGCTTGTAGTTGGTTCCAAACTGTAAACCAAAAAATAATCATAATATATGTTTGTTCTGATGAATTGAATTGAATATTGAAAATGACTAAGAGTGTCTTGTAACATCAATGAAAAAGTTCTTAAACTATTCGTGATTATTTATAATATTAAAATAGGTCATCTGGAGGCGTATCCCATTTTACCTGGATCCCATATCAAAAGTTATGCCGTTTCATCTTTTCCCGGAAAACCAGTTTTCGCGGTCTAAACTTTCTTGATTTATGAGCAGTTTTTGATAACTTATAGTGCGTCCTATTGGTTGTAGGGAATGATATGGTGGTTTTAACTTGGCATTTATTTAAGCTATAATTGGTTTCAAAGTAGAAAACTTTCATTAATGGAGTATATATCATTATCCCTTTGGAACAGATGGTCCAATTTAAGTTATGGTGGCTGTTTCTTAACACATACTAAAGGGGAAAATTAATGTGACGTCCTACCTTCTCTCTCTACATACAGTTGCTCTCAGGCACACTCCTCGAGGAGCCTGAGAACCCGGAATCCTGAGTTTCTACAAACACCATCGGAGAGCCACTAGTGACGCGAGCCTATCCCTGAAAACAACTCCGGCAACGACCCTCACACGCGCCGCCAAGCTCCGGCGAGCCCTCCACCACGCGCCGGCGCGTGAGTCAATTCTGGGCCAGATTTCAACTTTTTTCTTTTGGACAACCTCTTCGTCCCCTTATTCCGACCCCACCCATCCATGAAGTTTTAGATTTCGACCACGTCTCTTTTTTCTGGCGATGGGAAGCATTTTTCCGGCCAATTTTCAATCACTTTTCAGTCAGTTGCCAAACAAACTTCTTTCTCCTTCTTCTTAAGATTGCAGAATTCCTTCCCTTCCTTCATTATGTTTTTCACTCGCTCTGACTGTCGATTTCTCTAACCTTTGAGGTTTTTCCGGACAGATCTCACCACTTCTTTTTTTTGGGACAACAACATCTAGAATATGATGGATTATACATAGAGAAACTCATACTTCTCTCTAGAATCTAGAAAACTAGAAAACATGAGTTTCATCAAAGCTACCTTTTGGCCAGCCCTAGAACTTGGGGGAAGATGCCATCGAAAGCTTGACGTAGGGCAAGAGCCGCACTTCTCGCTATCTGAGGAGCACACTCTCAGGCGCAAGGGCTTCTTGAAATCTTGTCTGATTGGGTCTTGCTCCAAATGGGTTGGTTCTCCAGAGGATGTTAGGAACTGGGCAGCAAGGGCATGGAATGACAAGGACGGGCTGAAAATATCACAACTGGGGGACACACAATATCTCTTTCGTTTTGTCGATGAGTCTCAAGCTTCAGAAATTCTTGTAAGAGGAAACAGGTGGTTTAATGGGAACTTCTTAAAGCTAGACAGATGGGTGGAGCACGATGAGTGTCTAGACCCTCGTTTCACCAGCGAATCATTGGTGGTCAACATGGTGGGTCTCCCGGTACATCTTTGGTGTCTTGACTTATTCAAGAAGATTGGAAAAATCTGTGGGGTTTTTATTGATGTCGCTTGCATCTTACACGATCTCTCGCGAGTGAGGATTGTGGTGAGGAGAGGGGGCAAAATCCCTATCTCCACTGTGGTGGAAGATGGCTACTTGAGTTATAGGGTTTGGTTGAGCCCTGAACTTCGCCCAATTTTTATGCCTGAGATAGTGGCGGAAGAAAAGGGAAGGTCAAATAAAAGGGATGAGAGGGGAAATCAGTCTTTGAGGGGAGGGGAGGGCTCACCGGATCAGTGGACTAAGCCAGAATCAGACGTTAGATCGAGAAGAGAAGGGTGATATGATTTTAGGAGAAGAAGACAAAATTTCAACAGGAGGGAAAGATGTGAATGAGTTAGTGATGCGAGCTGGAAAGGTGGAATGGGCCGGTCATCTTCCAATTATCCTAGGGCCAGGCAAGTTTTCAGCAAGTATAGGCATGGGCCTCCTCACATGGGCCCAACAACTTTTCCTAATTCTATTAGAATTGACCCTAAGGGGCCTAGATTATTTCAAGCTGCGTCTGTCAAAGCTCCTAAGCATATGGGAACAATCGTTCTTCCTTCTTCTGCCAATGGTGCTACACACAGTGGCATTTCTGCACCGAGCTCTAGTGACCTTCCCCCTTCTTCGATGGACGCCGCTTTAGGGGTGGCATTGGCTATAGATGGTGTTGTTATTCCACGGCCTCCCGCCTCTGATGGACCCAGCTCCATCGCCCCCTCATCTGCTCCTGAGCTTAGTTGTGTTGAGACTACACTTCAAGCTTCTTCTTCCTCTGGGAAGATTGTTGAGCATGCCCCATCTGATGTTAGTGCCGGACCAGTATTTCCAGTTAAGATGCTGCCAAGGGCTCCATGCTCTCCTTCTTCCTGCTACCCTATTGGTGTTTCTGGTCATTCCTGTAGCAGCGGGGTGCTAATTTCAGAGATTGATACCTCTCAAGAAAATGGCGAGATCCTTTCGGCACCTAAAGTTCATATTGCTAGCAATGCTATGGCTTTGTATTCCTCCGGTAGGGGCAAGGAAAGGGTACATATAGAAGACACCTGTCCAATCTCGTCACGGATTGGAGGAAAGGATATGTTTTTCTGGATGGAGGATAAACTATTAAACTTTGAGAAGTTTCTAGGTGTTTCTTTTGAAGGGAAGGAATATAGGGTGTTAAAACTGTTGAGGGAGATTGAGCAAAAATCTTGTTATGATGGTACAGGGAGGGAGTTGGGTCAAGGTGTTAAGCAAAATAATTTAGGGGATGTAGTGGTGTACCAGAGAAGGGGCCGGGTGTGTGACAAGGAGGAAGGGAGCTCAGTTAGAGGGGGTGGGGAGAAGGGGGATATTGTTTCTTATGGAAGTTAAGATTCTTTCATGGAATGTGAGAGGGATGAATGACCCAAAGAAAAGGGCCATCATCAAAGTGAGAGTTAGAGAGTAGGGTGCTAACCTAGTTTGCTTTCAGGAGACAAAATGGAAGTTTTGTCGGATGTGATTGTGAGGAGTGTTTGGGAGGTAGTTGGGTAAAATATGACTGGATTCCAGCTGCGGGAAGTGCCGGGGGCATTATTCTAATGTGGAATGATAGAAGCTTGGAGGTAAAGCAGATTAAGAAGGGAGTTTTTTCTTTAGCAGCTCTTGTCAATGATAGAGTGAGTGAGGTGGAGTGGGGAGTGTACGGACCGGTAGGAGAAGAGTCCAAGGTATTTTTCTAGGAGGAACTAGCTAATATGATGGGGGAATGGGACATTCCATGGGTTCTGGGGGGAGACTTTAACACTATTAGATTTCCAGAGGAGAGATTAGGGTGTAGTATAATTTCGAGGGCGATGGAGGAGTTTTCTGACTTCATCAATGATCACTTTCTCATTGATCTTCCTCTGTCAGGGGAAAGGTTTACTTGGGCTAGGGCGGAGGATTCCAACTCAAGGTCTAGACTTGATAGATTTCTCATATCGCCCTCCTGGGATGAGCTGGTGTGGAACGTGCTGCAGATTCCTTTACCTAGGCTGACTTCGGATCATTTGCCTATCTTGCTAGATGTATGCAGAGGGAAGGGGGTGCTGCTCCCTTCCAATTTGAGAACATGTGGTTGAATGTGCCAGGATTTGGTGACAAGGTGAAAGAATGGTGGACAAGCTACACGGTATCAGGGACACCTTCATTCCACCTTTCGAAGAAACTTAAATTGCTTAAGGGAGATATTATTAGGTGGAATAAGGAGGTTTTTGGGAAGGTAGAGGTTAAAATGAGGGAGCTTATGCATGAATTGGGGGATCTAGAGAGAATGGAAGGGGCGAGGGAGTTAGATGAATCTGGGAAAGAGAGATTAGGGAGGTTAAGAGGGAAATAGTCGAGTTAGCAATAGCTGAGGAGATTAGTTGGCAGCAAAAATCGAGGGCGCTATGGTTAAAGGAAGGGGATTCGAATACCAAATTTTTCCACAGGGTGGCGGTTGCAAATCGAATGAGAAACTTCATCGAGTCCTTAGTTGTGGATGGGGTGAGGATTGAGGGAGAGTAGGAGTTAAAATGGGCGATAGTAGGGTTTTATGAGAACTTATACAAAGAGGAAGTTAGTTGGAGGTCGACTTTGGGGGGAATAGAGTTCAACACATAGGGGAGGGAGACAGTGAGTGGATAGAAAGGGCTTTCGAGGAGGAGGTGCACGAGGTTGTGTCGAGTTGTGCTGGTGATAAGGCCCCCGACCCTGATGGTTTCTCCTTGACCTTCTTCCAGCTCTGCTGGGACACCATCAAGGGGGAGTTGATGGAAGCCATTGAATACTTCCATGTGAATGGTGTTTTCGAAAGAAGTATCAATGCTTCTTTTATTACTATTGTGCCTAAGAAAGAAAGTGCATCTTGTATATGTGACTACATGCCTATTAGTCTCGTGGGGAGCATTTACAAGATTATTTCTAAAGTGTTTTCTAATAGACTCAAGAAGGTTCTTGACGTGTCTGTTTCGTCCTCCCAGAATGCGTTTGTAGACTGGATGCCGCTTTGGTGGCAAATGAACTTGTAGACTCCAGAAGGAAAAATAGAGATCCCGGCTTACTATGCAAGTTAGACCTTGAGAAGGCTTTCGACCATGTCAATTGGGAGTTCCTGGATTTCATTATGATGCGGATGAGGTTGGGGCAAGATGGAGGGGATGGATCAAGTTCTGCATTTTCTCAGTCAGATTATGTGTCCTGGTTAATGGTAGCCCATGTGGTTTCTTTGGCAGCTCCAGGGGTCTCAAGCAAGGAGACCCCCTATCCCCCATGCTATTCATTCTAGTAATGGATGCTTTGAGTAAAATGATGGATCGTGCGGCGGGCGGAGACTTCTTGAGAGGATTCTCAGCTCCGATCAGGATGCCCAGTGCCCGAAGAATCTCTCATTTACTTTTTGCAGATGACACCCTGGTTTTCTGTGATGCCGATATGGATCAGTTGACCTACCTGAAGCTGGTCCTGCAGTGGTTTCAGATAGTATCAGGTCTCAAAATCAACCTCGGCAAGTGTGAGATTTTCCCGGTGGGTGAAGTTGCTAACATTGATGCTTTGTCTTATGTTGTCAGATGTAAGGTGGGCTCCCTTCCCACTACTTACCTGGGTCTCCCATTAGGCGCTTCGCATAAAGATACTACGGTTTGGAATCCAGTGATTGAAAGGGTTGAAAAAAGATTAGCAGGCCAACAGAAACGGTACTTGTCAAAAGGCGGAAAGGAAGTGCTCATTAAAAGCACTTTATCGAGTATGCCAACCTATTACTTGTCCCTGTTTCAAGCTCCTGTGAGCATCACAGAAAAACTGGAGCGGCTTCAAAGGAATTTTCTTTGGGATGCAGCGGATGGAACTAGAAAGTATCATCTAGTGAATTGGCAGACAGTCACTTCCCCAAAGAAGTGGGGTGGACTTGGAGTGAAAAATCTTAGGATATTCAACAAAGCTTTGTTGGGGAAGTGGATGTGGAGATTCGGGGTAGAAGAGCGTGCTCTATGGAGGGAGGTCATAGTAGAAAAGTACGATTTCACGGGAGGGGGTTGGAGGACCAAGGCAATCACAACACCTTTCGGGTGTGGCATGTGGAGGAGCATCATGAAGAATTGAGAATCCTTCAGTGACAACATCTCTTATAGGGTGGGATATGGAAAGAGAATCAGCTTTTGGAATCATAGGTGGTGTGGAGAGGATACTCTGAGGGTCTCCTTCCCCCACGTCTTTAGAGTTTCAAACCAGAAGGAATTGATGGTCCAACAGATTCGTAAGGAGCATGAAGGGGGAGAAGTATGGGACCTCTCATTTAGAAGGAACATGCAAGATTGAGAGATTGTGGAGATCCAAGATTTATTGACACTGCTATATGGGCAAGACAGGCCTCAACCATCTTGTGATTCTTGGAGATGGGGTTTGTGTGGCGATGGTTTGTTCAGCGTAAAGTCCTTTTACCAGAGTATGTTGGTGAGAGAGGAGGTCTCTTTTCCATACTCCTCGATCTGGATTCCTAAGGCGCCCACGAAGGTGTGCTTTTTTGCATGGCTAGCGGCGAGGGGATGATTTTGACTGCTGAGAATCTTCGAAAGAGGAGAATTACACTTGTTAGTTGGTGCTATATGTGTAAAAGCTCAGGGAAGAAGTTGATCATCTTTTGTTGCATTGCCCTGTGTACTAGGCTTTGTGGAGGGCGATCCTGAACCTTTTTGGTATTCAATGGGTGATGCCAAGAACTGTAAAGGAAATGCTATATAGCTGGGCCGGTTTCCGTAGAAGAAGAAAGCAAAAGGCGTGGAAGTTCGCCCCGTTAGCTCTCATGTAGATAGTTTGGGGGGAGAGAAATAGGAGAGCTTTTGAGGGGATTGAGTCTCCTTTTTCACATCTTAAGAATAGTTTTTTATCTTTGATCGCTTTTTGGTGCACTCATATAGCCACTATTTGTATAGAAGATTGAGCGTCTTTTGTAGAGAATCATGTTCTGATATAAATTCTCTACTTTTTGGTATACTTCTTGTATACGGGAGTTTCTCTCCCTTTTGATTAATACAATTTACCTTATCAAAAAAAAATGGTGGTTGTTTCTTCTTCATTGCCTCCTTTTGGTCCTTTGATGCTGTAAAGGTATTTGGGGTAGTGCCCCCAAATATCATCAAAGATAATTGGTCGGAGGGAGGTGCAGAAACCCTCTGACAAACTAAGGAGATGATATCTGAATGTGGGATAAACAATGATAATTGAAATTTAGCAATAGAAAATGCGAATTCACTTGATAGGATTAACAAATGTAAGGCGCTTTTTGTTGGGACTGCAGTGCATTGGAATGAAGTTCTCATTTTCTTAATACGTCCGTTTTTGGCTTATAACTTTCCTATATGGTTTGCATCCCAAATGCTTCTTTCTATGTTATGATGTTCACTAAAGAGAAAGGATAAGGTATATAAGAGGTTTTTTGTCAAAGAATAAGAAGAGAGATCTTTTCTGCTGTTACTAACGCAAATTGAGCCTTTGCATGCCACATTGCAGCTAATTTGTCGATGTTTTTTCCTATCTGCACTCATCAACACTTGCAAAATGTAGATTAGCAATTTGTCAAATTTTGGTCTTTTAAACTAAGCAAACCACTATTTCCTATTCAACTGATAGGAAATCAAAGGAACGCTCTTTGCTGATAGCGAATTAGCTAGTGGATGAATTTATTTTCAAAATATATGGTTAGCTAGTATTGTCACTGTTGAAGAGAGACTCAAAATTGCACTTTTCATCTGTGATGATTGCTTTGGGTTTTTAATTGATTGTGTAAATTGATGCACAAAAAGCTACTTGCCATCTCTGAAAAGGGTGAAGTCAAATTTCCTACAATCGATGATGAAGAAATTTGTGCTATTCTAAATTTCATGGCGTCGCTGCTGTAGGTATGTGATGACCTTGAGGACATGATGGAACAAGGCGGAAATATTGTTGATCATCATGGCTGTGATTTCTTCCCTGAACGTTGGTTCGATAAAGTGGTGGTGCTCCAAACTGACAATACTGTCTTGTATGATAGATTGAGTAGGAGGTAATCTATCAATTGACTTCCTTTTTCTTTTCTCATCCATGCCTCTGTAATGTTGCTCACTCAGATCTGTTCTTGACTTGCTTGATTGTACCAGAGGCTACACAGGTCAAAAGCTCTCCAATAATATCGAATGCGAAATATTTCAAATTTTGCTGGAGGAGGCAAAGGAGAGTTATCCAGAGGATATTGTGGCGTCACTAAGAAGTGATTCTGTTGAGGATATTGGCAAAAATGTGGAGATACTGTCCAATTGGATTAGTAGTTGGAGCCCTGTCTCATGATTAAGATATCACAAATGTGTCTTCTATTGCATGTTTGATTATTGTACTCAAATGATATTCTATAGTGGTTTTGGCTGTTTGTGAGGTACCCTTCTTTCATATAAACAGAAATTCTGTAGAAATGCACCAATGTGCTTTCCAAAACATTAATCATTGCGGACTAAAGCTTTTTGGGAAAGGTTTATTTGTGTTATACTAGAGGACCTTCGCAGTTTATGATTATAAGAGTAACTGGGGAAGTTGATGATCTTACAACTACTGGGAACTCTAGTACTTGCCGTACCGCAGCACAAAAACAAATGAATATAGAAATACAATTTCAAACCATCACAATTTTTTTAAAGAGAAACAACCATCACATGCAACTTCTCGTATAACTATAAGACAGAATCGCATTTGTTGTTATTGTTATTGTGATTGAAGACGAACTTAAATAGAGCAGTTCATCTTGATTCATATAGCCGACAACAATTTGAGATTGCAGCATAGTAGTTTTAGGAACAATGCAAAACACAGCAGGAATGACAACTAATATATGATAGTACCCGGTAGAAAATTGTTTCTTTTATTCAAGTACTGCTAGTTGAGGTTTCAAAAATACTGCGACTCTAGACCTACATCCCCTAAACATTTTACATTTTCTCTACATCTAATTCTATCCTGCAAAACTTTCTTCCAGCCAAAAGCACACAACCCTACAAAATTGTGTAGATCGACTCAAGACAAGGAATTACAAGTAGAGCTCAAAAGAATTCGAGAGTGCCAGTTATAGTGATTGGTGGATTTATATCAATGCGAGTAGCCTTCCCTTGTGAAAGTAACTGCGGTAGTGTATTGGCATCTTTGGCTACAACTCCTTCCCCTGTCCATAATGTGACATGAGGCCATTCGTTTTTAGAATCGACCTTCTCACCTTCAATACAACCAGGCTTTGCTTCTAGTGCAGCCAGTTTTTCGGAGAACAATAAAGCAGCCACCTCTACTGGCACCTTTTGGTGAAGAAAGCAACCATACTTGGCAACTGCAGTGACACCATGACTTCTCTTATGAGCCAGGGTCAAATGGGCCTTTGTAATGCAGCTCTCTATGCTTTTGTCCTTCAAGAAAGCGCCAACCTTCGGATCTTTCTGGGCTAGCTGTCCATAAAATAATGAAGAGCATGAGATAATATAGTTAAGTTCCTTTATGCAAAACTAAAGTGCCTCTCCTCAGTCCCTTACTCACCGTTCATCCAAAGGACTTTTAAACAAAATGCAGGATATTCGGATGAGATAGGAAACTAAGAATGAAAGGAAAGATTAGCAAGAGATACTGTGTGTTTTGTGATCAAATATTTGCTTTTCTCGGATAAAGATATTATTTTATTGAAAGAAAAAGAAGTCAGCAAACAGATAAGCAAGAAAGATTATCATTCTCTTCAACCTGCCAAGAAAACAATCTAGCCACAAGGAATAATATGTTTCTGCATAAACTAATCAGTACGGTAAGAGCGTAGACCACTCACTACAACTATCAAGAAATAAATTTCCAGCCATCAAGACTCTCCATAAGTGCAATTCATAAATTTGCAAAATTTACTCACATCATTCAGAAGACCAAGAATTTCTGGAACTGCCAGGCTGACAGCTGCAAACACTATAGATCCTAGCTTCCTCTTCTCAGAAGTAGGCGCTGCATACTCACCCCTCGCAATAGCTCCCAGTTGTTTCAAGACTTCTTTAACAGCAAATTCAAATGGAACCTGAAATGGAAATTTGCATCATTAGCCAAAATCTCTCTTACCACAACCTGAAAAATTTCTTTTGAGCTTTTCTACTCTTCTCTGTTCACACTGAGCCAGGGGGTTCTTTGCGAGGGGTGGGGGTGTGGTGTGGTGTTGCTGATCATGAAATATTGAACCATCCAACAAACTCCTCCAACCAGAAAGGTATTCCTCATGTAGCACTTCTGATCTGCTTTGGCATACCAACTCATTTTAAGGTAAGTAATTCATTTTTTTTTGAAATAAACATGTCGTCCTACTTGAAGCCACTTTTCCCCCCAAATCCCTGCACACTCCCCATGTCAAAGAAGAGTTACACAGAGAGAAAACTGTGCAAACAGCGCAGGTAAAGAAAATTCTGTTTGGTCATAGGCTATTTTACATGCTCTCATTTAGGGGTGTATCTGTGTCAAGATTTGTTGCTGATTTTTAGCGTATTTGAAGAACCCGCATTGATGTTCTCCAACCTTTTATCACACAATTCCTATACCGGCGCGTCAACTCAAATAAAGTATGCATAAGTGCAGCTACGTGTTATGGGTCACATATGAAGTAAAGGGCTTGAATAACGTTATAGCAATTACTTTTTTTTTTCAAGTGGAAAAGATCAGAGATCAATTACATGCCTTGAGAGATCTAGAACAAACTTACCTGTATTGAATTGAGATAGTCAGCATTCCCAAGTAGAATATCCCTCAACTGCTTCTCCCATTTAACCCACTCTTTTGCATATATCCCTTTTGTAGACTCCAATCTACAGGATTGAATGTACAAAATCACAAACAATGAGAAAATTCATCAGCAACAATCAATCAATCGGAAACACGATTACCTAAATTTAAGAATAACTAGAGAGATGACGTGATTTTGCTAGAAAAAAGCTGGACATAACAACATTTCTTCTTTTTTCTCCTCCCCACCTTCCTTGGCTGGTTTGTATTTTAAGATTTATTCTTTTATTTAATCCAGCTCACTCTCACTTTTTTTGGAGGGGGTG